TGATTCTGCTATGTTATTTTAGCTTATTGATACACAAAAACCGCCTGCGCAACCAATTGGTAATAACAGTTTACAAAAAAGTGCATTCTGTCCGAATTATGGATTATAATCCTTAGTTTGTAAGAAAATATAAAAGGAACATACAATCAAGTATATTTTGTACCAGTTCAGCCAATATATTGGTAGACAATTGGGTGAGTGTGCGTATGTGTGTGTGGTGGATTAAAGAAAAGACATATATATAGTATCTGTCACACATTTAATATATTAATAAAAAGAAAAAAACAATGCGATAGTTAATGATCCATCGAGCTATTTCGTGGATCAAACTGTTATAAGAACATATTAAATTAATTCCTATTTAGTTTATATAATTTTCAGTAAGATACTATATCACTACAAAAAAGGAGCGATTCAGAGAGTGATTTTAAAAGCTATTATAAGCATTCTTTATAATCACTAGTTGAATTGCCAATTTTTTCTTAGTGGATCTATTTCTAATAAAGATCTCAAGCAGTGCGATGAACATGATGTCAGTTTATTAGAGTGTTTAGAATAATTTTTTTTTCTATATGCGCTTTCTTTCTTTCATAACATTTAATTATATAACTAAAAGTTAATTCTATGATATATATTCCATATCAAAACCTTTATATAAAGTATAGATTCCTTTTATTCTTATATGTTTTATTAAAACATTCTTGTTATTATATTTGCTTATTATCTAATATAAAAACCCGATACTCTCAATATTATATATTACTATGCCCAGTTGTGAAAACTTTTAGTTCTCTTGTAATACATTTATATATATAATCTAAGACTAGATATCTGCTCTTATCGACTATAGCAATTCGGTAAATAAAAAAAAAAACTAATTGCATTTTAAACATGTCAATAATATTTTTAATTTATGAGACTTGCTTTAATAAAAAGCTGGGATAATATAAAGAGTCTCTTGATATGCTCTTATAGTCTATACATATATATATATATATAGACCACTTTCTCTTTCATATTCCAACTAAAGTGGTACAGTTTTACAACCTTTCTTTTAAGAAATAATATATTAATATATAACATATGTGTCAAGTAAATTTTTATATAAAATCAATTCACGAAAATGGGTAGCCATATAAGAAATTCGGGTTTTTAAAATGAAAGTCTTTATATTGCTTCTAATCAGAGCAATCAATCCATTGATCTACAATTTTCTATGCATGCTGCTATGTCATCATCTAATGACGAAAGCATAAAATTTTTTCACAGTTATTTAGTAAGAGTGCCAGCCAGACCATCTCTGTTTTCCTCTTGTGCATGGTAAGTCTATTATTTCCTTTTCATTTGTGTTGAGGGAGTAGTATAGTCTATAGATATACTAATCTTGACCTTTTTTCTATGTGAATCAGCGGCGTGTCGGATGGATGGGTGTTGGTGTGGTGTGGATGGGGGGGGTGTGGTGGGTGTGGTGGGTGTGGTGGGTGTGGGGTAGTTTAGTTTCCCCTCTCTAGTTAGTTTACGTAGTGGGTAGTCTTTAGATATAGCTTTCGTTTATCCCTTTAGCTTAGCTTAGATTGATAGTTTCGTTCCCTGTTCACCTTTTATTTTTTAAGCCCATAGCTAGCCTCACACCCCAGCGTTCCCGATCTCCTCCCCACTCCGTTCTCTTCCACGAAGTCAGGACAGGTCTACGCCCTGTGGAGGATGGATCCGCCTTTATAGGTGGTGAACTAAGATTCTGACGATATATTTGAATATTAATAAAATTTTTTTTTAAACCATTTTTGTCTGCCCATAATTACAATGTCTGCTTTACAAATGATTGAGAGAAACACTTTATTATTAGAAGAAAACTGAATAAAACAATGCGTGAGAACAATAATATGAGTTTATTTTTTATTTAAAAATATCAAGTTTTAATAGTAGTGTATTTTTTATATGGGCGAGAAGTGGGCGGTGTGAGTGGGTGGTCCGTGTGGGTGGTCCGTGTGGGTGGTCCGTGTGGGTGGTCCGTGTGAGTAGTCAGTGTGACAAAGTTTTGACATTCATGGCGCATGCTAATGACGAGAGATTAACATCGCGAGACTTTTTGTTAGGTGGCGTCCGCTTGGTCTAGACCCAGTCGCGTAAAAGTATACTGAAAGGCGTGAGCTTTGAAAATTATGTCCGATGGGATGGAATTAGATGGGATGGGACGGAATTGAATGGCGTCATTGGGATCGAAGAAGGTGTCGGAATTATGGTGGTATGAATACTATATGACTTGGAGAGTTGAAGGTCAGCTCTGAGAATGGTGGCATATAACACTTCAGGTATAGAGAAATATTGTATATGACTTGCGAGTGTTGAGGTTTTATTATATGGCCATTATTTCGATTTTTATTTTTCAGTGATTATAAAATAAAACAATAATATTGTTGGTGGTGGCGATTCTGGTAGTTTTGTAAAGTTGATGGCGGGATGGTGGGATGGCGGGATGGAGGGAATGTAGGAAGAGGATTCACGCCATCGTTAAATAGAATTTTTATTTTATTTTTTTTACGGCGCAGTGAAGGCCACTTTAATATACCGTCCTCTCTGGGCGATTGTAAGTAACCACTAGACGGTCTTTCAACCTATGTATGGGTAACAGTATCCCTGTCAATGGACCCTGCTATGTTCCTTTAGCTTAGGGATACACAAAGCTGTCTGCGCAACCAATTGGTAATACCAATTTACAAAAAAGTGCATTCTGTCCGAATTATCGAGTAGAATCCTTAGGTTGTAAAAAGACACAAAAAGAAATAGACAATATATATATATTGTATCAGTGCAGCAATTGTATTGGTAGACAATTGGGCGAGTGTGCGAGTGTGCGTATGTGCATATGTGCGTATGTGTGTGTGTTGGATAAAAGAAAAGAAAAATATATGATAGTAAGCCCAAAATATGATAGCAAGTTATATATATATAGTTTGGGAGTAGCTTCTGGTGTGTAACCGTATATTGAATAAAATGAAAATAAATATATATGATAGTGTATCCAAAATATGATAGAAGCTCGTATATATATATATTTCGGGAGTAGCTTTTGGTGTGTGTCCATGTGTTGAATAATAATAATAAAATATACAAGATAGTATATCCAAAATATGATAGAGGCTCGTATATGTATATAGTTCGGGAGTAGCTTCTGGTGTGTGCCAGTGTGTTGAATAATAATAATAACATATATAAAACAATATATCCAAAACATGATAACAGTTTATATATATTTAGTTCGAAAGTTACTTTTGGTTTATGAATATCACCCTTTTCATTTTGACTTGGTAATATTTTTCTGTAGGCTCTTGCTTTTTTGGTGTAAAATGTTTGATGCTTTTTGATCCAATTTCATTAAGTATAATTATAGAAGAATGTGTATGGATCTGGATAGTGTGTTATTTATGAAACATACTAGAAAACATAGTTTAAATTATATTATTATATATAGCT